CCCCACTCCGTCCTGTCTGGGGCCACGACTCCGCCCCCCCGGGCCCGACTGGGAGGAGCCAATCCCCGCCCTACATGCGAGGCCTCAAGTAGAAAGTTTAAAACACTGACATCAAAATAAGTAGCCATAGGCACGCCCGAGATGTCACCGTGCCTCGTTGGTAGAGACTTCTGTGGGCATCAGGCCACCGTCTTCCCAGGTCTCGGTCAGCCAGCCAGCGCTTTGGGCCACAGCATGGGAGTCCTCAGGGAAAGATGTTGGAGCGCTAGGGACACCGAGCCCTGGTGTTGTTCCAGCAAAAGTGCTGGCAAGTCCAGGGGTGACCAAGATGGTGAGGGCAGAGGGCTGTTCGGGCGCCACTGGGGGAGGACTGCAGGGAGCGCGAATCCCTCTCAGAAGACTAAAGGTGAGCTAGCAGGAACAGATCCCCTCTTCGTGCTGGGGCAGGAAGTGGCCCAGGCCAAGCCAGGGGACCCTCAGGGGCACTACCAAATCCCCCATCCCACCACCAGCACTCAGGGCACATTTCTCTACACACACAAATTTCTGGAAGCTTCATTAGCCTGCAGAACCTCAGATTCCCCATCCGTAAAATGGGGACAATCGCAGCTCAGCTACGGGAACCCTGGTGGGATTAAGGCCAGAACGTAAGCAAAGCCTTGCGCACCCTGCCTGCACCACGAAGCCCGTAAGTGGTGACTGATGCGTCCCTGGGGCCCCAGCACAGTCCTCCTGGGGGAGGAAGCATTAGCTTTCACATCTTGAGTGACAAGGAACTCAGCACCTCTCCCCACCTTCCCTGCCTCTGGGGGCCACCATGGGGGACCAGCTGCTGCCTCCTAGCCAGTCCGCTCTCAGTCACTTCATTCTCCTCACAGAGGCTGACGTCCTTTGAAACACAAATCTGGCATGTCACTCCCCTACTGAAGCACCCCACACTCGTCCCCCACCCTCTCCCACGTCCCCATCCACTCATGTGCTCCAGCTGCCCTGTTCCCTTTTGGGTCCTCTCTGGGGCCTCTGCAAGGCTCCTCTCTCTGCCCCAGAGGAGTAAGAGGTCCTGGAGGCTCCTGGCAGCCCGGCCAGCCCAACAGCACCACTGCATGTCGGCTGCTGTGTCTGAGTCCCACCCGACCCTAGAAGAGCTCCCGCGAGAAGCTGCGTCTGTCTTGGTCACACAGCTGGCCCAGAGCAGCAGCAGCGCCTGGGAAGAGCTCAGAACCACAAGCGGTGGACGGATGGGCTGAGGTGCAGGCGCAGTATTGGGCGAGGGGGAGCCGTATCCCTCCATGACCTTCCCTACCGAAGGCACAAGACGCGGGGCGGGCGGCACGCGGGGGATGCCTGGTCCCAGGTGTCCGCCCCAGGAGCCGGGGGATCAGGGGCGGTGCTGTGGCGCAAGTCCAGGTAGGCTCAATGGAGGAGGTTGGCCCTGGGCTGGACTTGGCGGGAGACAAGCCCTTGGGACTTTGGAAGGTTCGCCAGCGTGGGCGCAAGTTTGCCAACAGGAAGCGCCAGGACGCACAGGGCTGGAGTGGCAAGACCGGCACCTCCCGGGTCTCTGCGAGCGCGCTGCGCCCCTACACCTAGCACGTCAACTCGTTCTGATCTGCCCCCACCCCTGCAGGCTGGGTGGCCCCGGGCAATCTACTTAGGTTCTCTGTACTCCAGCGCTCTCCTGAGTTTTGTTTTATTTTCCTGCTTACATTTTCAAGCTTTTCTCCAGGTCCTCTGGTGCCTAATAGCCGTCCTCCAGCCTCTGAAATGAAGTGGGGTGGGGTGCCCTCTTGCTACCCCCCAGGCTCCGCCTGCAGATGCCTGGCAGCCCCTTACACCTGCTGAGTGCCCCTTGGCAGTGAGTGGCCCCCAGGTTACCAAAGTCAGCATCCGAGGTCCTCCTTCCATCCTGCCTCCTGCTCTGGCCCTCAGCCCTGAAAGCCATCCCGTCCACCACCTGCTGCTTACCCCCAGCTCCTCCTTCAGAAACTTCTGTAACAACTGCCCGGGGTCCCCACCTCCGGTAGATGCCCCAGCCCAATCTCTAAGCCTGGTCACTTGGAGGGGTGTAAATGCTAACCTCCCCTCTTGGGCCCCCATAGCCTTTCCTTCTGCCTTCCCAGGGCAGAGTCCAGGCTCCCCCCTTCCACCCACCTCCCAAGGAGGAGCATCACTCACCTTTCCAGGCCCTCAGGTTCCAGGTTCTCAAACCTTGACAGCGCACCAAAGCAAATTCCCAGGCCCTGCGCACACAGACGGACCTACTGCTTGTTTTCTAAGCTCCCTGGGTGAGTCTTCCCCCATCTGCCAGGGATACCCCTCCTCCAGAAAGTCCACCATCAAGCCGGGTACTGAATCCCCCTTGTGCTGTCTCCCCATGCACGGGCTCCAGGGAGAAGAGGACTCTCGGGGAGGAAGGAGCAGGAGGCTGGTCGCAAGGGTCGGACTGGGCTCTGAGCTTAAGGTGGGGACCTGTCCGAGCCATAGCAGGCCCCTCAGGCCCTGCAGCAGTTAGCGAGAACTCCTGAGCTCTAGAGCACACTGAGCCACCAAGGCCGGAGATCGGAGGTGGGAGGGTCTACGTGTCCTCAGGGAGGCTTCTCACAGCCGGGGGCACCCGTAGCCCCTCCTGCCAAGAGTCCTCAGAACCAGCCCTGGGGACCCTGCAGGCTGTTGAAAACCAGGCCACAGGGTACCTGCCTGGTGCTTCCTCTCCCTCCCGTGGCTCCAACCCCACCAAAGCCCATTCCATCCCTCTGCCGTGCTTCCACCCGGGGCCTCTGCACAAGTCCCCTCCGTCCCCACCTGCAGTCTGCCCTTCAAGGCTGGCTTCCCTGTCATGCAGCCCAGCCTGGCCTCCGCAGGCCCCAGGGGGGCCCGGGTGGACTCCGTGTGAAGGGCGGGCCCCGGCCCATGCCAGGCGTGCACCTTCAGGCACACTCAGCGCCGCACAAACTTGTCTCCCGGGATTTTTCCACACAAAACATGTCTCCCTGGAAAGCAACCGGTCTGATGAGCTGGCGGGGTGTGCGGGCGTTCCCACTCCTCCCTCCCAGGGCCCCCACAGTCCCATCCCACACCGAGGCCCCAGCAGCTGTGCTGGGCCCGGGATGGAGCCCAGGACTCCTGGACCTCGACCGGCAGCAGTGGCCTCTGGGATGAGCCCCAGGGCCGGCGGTATCCGGACCACCAGCGGGGTAGGTCTCCCACTGGGCACCCCTCCAAGAGGTGACTCCAACTCAGGCTTCCACCCCAGGCTTCACCCTGACATTTCTGGGGCCCCTCCCCTCCCCCTCCAATCCCCCCACCCTGACCTCTGATTCCCACCCCTCAGTCTCCTCCCCAGCACTGACCACTAGGGTTGCCTCCCGACACCCCCTCCCGCCTGCCTCACCCCCAGGCCACTGTCCTCCAGCCATCATCTCCACCTGGGACCATGTCCCCTGCCTTCAGGGGTCCGGGGCCCAGGGCAAGGGCTTCCCATGGACGAGAGGGCCATTTAGGGTGGGCCCCATGATGACTTTTCGAGGGGAACCCAGGAGGTACAAGAGGCCACTTGATCCCCACCTCTCCAGCCCTCCTGAGCTCACCCCTTGCCCCACCCAGTCTGCCAGGGGCTTGTCCTGGATCCATGCCAGGCCTACCCCGGAGGCCTTGGAGTAGGCTGGTCCAGCTGAGGGGGCAAGCCCCACCATGCCTGGGCCTCCCCCCATCTTTGACCCTAGGCCCCCCACTCCCCGCACTGCTCCAACCCCTCCTCGTCCTGCTCTCTCAGACTCCCAGGCTCTTCCCTGCACATACCAGGTCCTGTGCCCCGAGCCAGTGCGGGAGGGCCCTCTGAGTCAGCCCCCGGGGGCAGTCCTGCCTGCCCCTGCTGAGCTGAGCCCTGACTCAGTGTTGGGAACGGTTTCCCACCCCCACACCCTGGGGGGCAGGAGCACAGGAGGGGCTCCAGAGAGGACCAAGCCAGTCCTTTGGAGGCCTCTGCAGAGGGGGGCGGCAGGGGGTAGTTTCTGGGGTCTACAGGAGGAGATCTGGAAGGTCATGAGCCTGGGGGTGAGCCTCACACTTCCGGGGTCTCTCGGGGGCACCAAGGACCTGGACAAGGGCCCCCAGAGCCCCCTTCCACCCTAAAGCTCCACTCAATTCCTTTACCTTCAAGCCTGTCCACTACCACTGACTTGAAGCCGCACCACCCCTGCCCCCACCTGCCCCACCTGCCCCCCCGTCTAGGCCTCATTCCAGCCTCACGGTTGGGCTGCCTGGTCCGTGGAGTTACCTGGAGCCCCCAGCTCCTCAGGGAGGGGGAGGCCCACCCTCAGATTTCCAGAGGGGGCAGCCATAGTCTCCCCAGGGGCCTCTCTAGGCCCTTTCCTAACACTCAGGACAGCGGTCAGAGGACTTGCTATGGCCTTTACGTGCTGCGAACAAAGGGCCTGGACCCCTCTGCCCTGTCTCCTGGGTCTGGCGAAAGGAGGGGAACATGCAGGGCCTGTTCTTCCGCCCAAATTCCAGCAGGCAGCGGCCCCTCCCTCCCACCTGGCCCAGGTGTCCCCGCCCCTAGCTGAGCTCAGGGCTGGGCGGGCGTCTGTCTCTAGGCCAGCCCTGGGCGAGGCCAGCGGGGAGGGGACTTCAGGGACAGGGCCGCACGGAAGAGACGGCGGAGACAGCCCGGGCTGGAGGCGGCTGCCGGGCCCAGGCCAGGTCGACCCAGCCCCGTGTGCCAGCCGCCATGCAGGACGGTAACTTCCTGCTGTCGGCCCTGCAGCCCGAGGCCGGCGTGTGCTCCCTGGCACTGCCCTCCGACCTGCAGCTGGACCGCCGGGGCGCAGAAGGGCCAGAGGCTGAGCGGTTGCGGGTGGCCCGGGTCCAGGAGCAGGTCCGCGCTCGCCTCCTGCAGCTGGGCCAGCAGCCATGGCCCAATGGGGCCGCCGAGCCTGAGGGGGCCGCCGAGGCAGCCAGAGGAGGTAGGCGGATACGGGCAGGGTGGGCAGCAGGCGGTGGCGGCCAGAGTGGCCCCAGTGGGTGTGGTGGTGCGAGGGCCAGAGGCCGTGGTGCAGCCGACTCTGGGCTCAGCTCCCTGACTCACCGAGGCCATGCCTTGAGTCACCGCCCCGCCCCAGCGGGCGTGGGAGAAGCCATAGGTGGGGCCTCCCACCTCCCAGGGGGGTCCCCGGGGTCCTCCCTGCAAGTCTGGTCCGGCCTCACCTGCCCCTTGGCCCTGAGTCCCGGCCCCCAGTTGGGGGACAACCGGCGGCGCAGCACATGGCGTGCCAGCCAGGCCCATCTCTGCCAATAAACGCGGAACACACACACGTCCAGGCCCACATGACACGGGCTCACACACAGCCTCAGAGACACGCAGACACACGTCAGTCCCACAAAGACACAAACACACCGAGACACGGACACCCAGGCTATAGTGTTCCTCCACCCTCACCCCGCCCCCAGCCCCCACGGGAATGAGCAGACAGAAAGATGAGGGGTGGGGTCTGGGGGCTCCTGGCCCAGAGCCACCCGCCTGTCTGGGCCAGGGTCTCCCCAGGGAATTGCAGTGGAGGGACGTGCTGGAGTGACCCACATACTCTCCGTGACAGCAGCGGCTGGGGGACTGCCCCTCGTGCCAGGCAGCCCCCCATGTAGGAATCCCAATCCCCCGGTGCATGCATGTGTGTGATGAATGTGTGAGTACGTGTGAGTGTGTGTGCGTGCATGAGTGTTGAAGGATCCCACAGATGCAGCGAGTTCAGGGCACTGGCTCTAGAAGAGCCATTTCCTCCCTTCCAGGCTGCAGCAGCAGGGATCAAGGTTAGGTGGTAAGATGAACCTTCCAGGATGTCAGAGGCCAAGACTTCATGTCTAAGTTGTTCACAAGATGATTGGAGGGCCCCCGCAGTCCTGGCCTCCAGCCTCTGGTCAGAGGAAGGAGGGTCAGCCAGGGTCGTCAGGGCAGCCTGGATTCCTGGGTACCCCCCTCCCTAGGTTTCAGCCTTGCTCATGGCCAACTTGGGTGCCCAGGGGTCATGGGGTAGAGGAGGGAGCAGGGAGGGGTTAATTACCACCCTGGCTACCCTGCCAATTAGGGAAAAGAGGATTATAATTTGGTGGTGGGGGTAAGGTCCCCAGGCACGGGGCGTGCCCCCCCAGGCTCAGCCTCGCTAGCGTCAAAGGGTTAATAGCCCCTGCCCAGAAGCCTCATTAACCAGGGCGGGTCTGGGGAGTCCCCCTAGACCAACGTGGGGCAGAGGTTGGGGGAGGGGCCAAGGCCCCTCTTCCCTTCACCCCCACCTTGAGTCCCATCAGCCAGGTCACTGTCCCTGGCCTTTGGGGAGAGGGGACTCTTCCCCCTCCAGGTGTGGCCCCAGCAGGACTCTGGCAGAGGCTAACCACCCCCAGGAACTCCCTCCAGGTTTAAAGACCCAACTCCGGGCATCGCCCAGCCGATGCCACCCCAGCCTGCTGCCACTGCTCTACCTTGGTTTGACCCTTGCCCAGCTCTTCCAGTGCGCCTGACCAAGCACAGCCCACCCACCCGTCCATTCTGCATCTGGCACGTACTCGTTCAGTTGTCCCTTCACCAGCTCGCCATCCTCCCAGCTTAGTTATCCCTTCACCTAGCAGTCTGTTCATCCACCCACCCATCCTTCCAATGGTCCAACTCGCCCTCCCCCATCTCTCCACCCTCCACCCACCCACTCGTCCGTCCACTCACCAGGTAGTCAGGCTGGCGCCAGAGCCCTCAGTCTGTGTGTGGCTGGGGGCGGGTGTGGCTCTGCCAGGTGGGTCAAGGGACTGCCCCTCAGGGCACCAGTCCAGGGAGACTTGTGTCCTTGGTGAGTGTGGCAACACTCTGGGGTGACCACAGCACCGGACGGGCTCACAGGAGGTCAGGGTGGCTTCCTGGGGGAGGCATCCAGGCACTGTACCCTGGCAGGGTTGAGAGCTAATGTAGGAGTCCCTGGCACATTCCTCAGGCAGCCTCAGAGAGGGAGCAAGCACGGCTGGCAGGGTACAATGAGGCAATGGCAGAGACACTGGCACCTGGCCCTGGAGTCCACCCAGCCTCCCTGCCAGGCCTCAGGGTCAGAGAGGAGTCAGGAGGCCAGCACTTGGCCATCAGCCCAGCCAGGCTCCGCTGTCCCTGTCCACAGGTGGGTCCCGGGCCGGGTACCACACCCTGCAGGCTGGCTTCAGCTCCCGCTCCCAGGGCCTGAGTGGGGACACCACCTCGGTGAGTGACACCCTTTTCAGCCCAAAGGGTCACGTGAGGGGGGGTTCTGGGGTAGGCTGAGGGCTTCAGGGTCAGGAGGAGGGGACTGGCGCCAGGAGAGCTGCCGCACCCCTCACTGTCCATCCCCACCCCCCGCAGACCT